AGCGTCCCGCAGGAGCCACCCCTGTGTGCGGGGCCACGGCTTCAGTGTGCTCGCTGGGACCAGACCCAGAGCTGCCAGGCACTCGTCTGACCCTGTCCTTCGCCTGGAGGCTCGTTTCCACACCTCCACACTATAGTCTCCTGGATAATCCTTCCTTTTTCCTCCTCAATTACACCAGTCGTTTCCCCAAGGACACCACAACAGTTGCTTTATTGAGGCCACGTTGACTCCAGCACCGCAGAGATACCATAAGAAATGCAATTAGCCTGGCACAGCCCCCTTCAGAAAACCAACGGGGCCCTTTTATTCCATTTACTTTGCATCATTCTCTCTTGAAACTCAGTCCAAGCCTTGCAGAGGGCATGGGCCAGCCAGGCCAAAGGTGCCCAGCCCCATTTGCACACTGGCACAGGCAGTTTGAAAAGGTTTCTGTTTCCACTGTTCATCTTCCCCCAACAGTGGCTGAAGAGGGGCTGCTCTTGCCTGGCCTGTGAGCTCTGCATGGCAGCACTGGCCGCTGTCCCTTCCCTGCTCACAGCCAGCAGACAGGGATCACATGTTCGGCCTGCCCTGGCAGAGGCAGCATGCCAGTTGCCCATCGTGCTGGCCTCTGGGCAGCCCCGGGAGCAAGACCACAAGAAAGCTCCAGCCTCAGGGTGAAAGACCTGGAGGCAGCTGGCAAAAGGGAAGAATCAGGGTCTGTGATGTGTCAGGCAAGAAGTTCAAAGTAATCCCTCTGTGTATTGAGACAGGATGGTGTGTGTTTGTGTCCTGGCAGCTTGCTGGCTGCTGTCATGCTTCCTGCATGGGAGATGGTTCCTCTTACCCCCTTCTGTATCTGCTCCCTCAGCCTGGCCCCATTTTCCGTTGCCAGAGAAGGGTATATTAGATCTGACCAGTTTCTTGGAGACTGGAGTCTCTGCCTGTGGCTGATCTCTCTGTGTCTGTAGGATCCATTTGATGGCTGGGCGCATTCCCCTGGGCACAGATCGGGCTGCAGTGGCAGGCGAGATGGAAACCACCTTCATTGAGAATCTCAGATATGCTGCTGACCTCCTGGCCCAGGTAAGTGGGTAATGTGTGTGCTCTGTGGGTGCAGCGCTTAGGTACCTGGGATGGAGAATACCCCACCAGCCTGGCATGGGGAAGGTACATTTCCTTCTGCAGAGATGACAGGATGCTCTGCAGGGTGACATTACTGTATTACAGGAAGACATGATTGGACTGGTGGAGCCTATTAACAACCGCATCACTGACCCTCGCTACTATCTGAACACCCCACACCAAGGTAAGGCAGACATCAAGAGTCTCCTTCAAAGGACGAGAAGGATCCCCAGGAGATTGCCTCACCATCAGGGAGATGCTGAGGGAGCACAGTTGATGAAGGGTGGGGTCTCAGAGCTTCTCCATGCACCCTGGGGGCAATGGTCTCTCATTTCTTTCACCCTTAGCTGCTGTAATCCTGGAGAAGGTGGGACGGCCCAACCTGAAACTGCAGCTGGTGAGTCAGCATTGAAGATTTCCAAAGTCCACCTTCCACCAGAAAATCTTGCACAGGCCCCACAGGGGAGTTCTGGGCAATTTGGGCTTGTTATCCCCTCCTGGATAACCTCTTGGGAACATGGGGAGAGACAGAGACCCTAGCACAGCTATCTTTAACTGCTCACTGCTGAACAGCTGCACCTCCCATCTTCCTCTCTCACAGGACCTCTTTCACTGCCAGATCATGGATGGCAACTTGTCACGCAACCTGGAGACATACTTCCCACTCATCGGTAGTGCCTGGCACCCAGACCAGCTCCTTGGTGGCCACGGGGCAAGAGTGGCTTTGAGATGGGGCCCTCCTGCCCCAGGCTCTGCTGTGGCTGCCTGGGGATGTGGGGGCTGCTCTTGGGTTACCTTGTCTCATGCCCTAAGGCGGCTGCGGGCAGGGCTGCCTTGGGCATGGCATCTCCCATTCCCTCCCTAGGTCATATCCAGATTGCACAGGTGCCAGGACGGCATGAGCCCGACAGCCCTGGGGAGTTGAACTTCCCCTACATCTTCGAGCTCCTGGAGTCCCTTGGCTACACTGGCTATGTGGGGTGCGAGTATGCTCCGAAAGGTGAGTAGGCCTGCAGGCCTGAGCCCTATGGGCAGGTTCCAAGCACAGACCAGCTGACTCAGTACTGTGTGAAGACAGTGGGGGGTGGCAGGTGCTGGGTATCAGAGTTCCTACCTGGGGATGAGTTCTGTGCTGAACAGAATTTGCTCCAGCTTCTACAGCTGCAGCAGGTAACCTTGTCACTGCAGGAGACACTGTGGAAGGTCTGGGCTGGCTGCGCTCCTACTGGGAGAGCCGAGGGCTGCAGCACAGTGGAACCAGCAAGGCAGCCAAATAAAACTAGAAAACCATGGGAATAAAAGTCAAGTAATGGCTTAACAAAGGAGTATGTGTCTTCTGTAGGACTAGGGGGTGCTGTTGGGTGGGATGATTCCTAGAGCGATGTCATATTTCCCTTTCCCAGGCCCTACTGGGCCAGCCCAAGCAGGTGGACCCTCATCTGCACAAGTACTATCTGCAGCATGTCATACTTGGGGATAGCACAGGTACCACTGTAGGTATTTAAGGTACAAAGAACCTTCACTTTCAGGCTGCAGGGGTGTCCAGGGAGAAGTTTCCAGTCTCCCCTACTAAGGGAAACATTAATTCCTTGGGAAGGGCATGAGGTTTCCCAGCCCAGCTTGTGCCTGAAGTTGTGGGAAGAATGCTCTGGGCCTCCAGGTCCTGCAGTTCTCGAGGCTGTGCACTGACAGTGCAGCAGGGGAGAAAGTGAAGCAAGCAGTGCCCTCCTGGGCTGCCTGAACCAAGGTAATAGGCTGGGGCTGCCTACCCATGGACACTCGATGCTGACTGCCCTGCTGCTCCTGCTCTGGAGCAAGTGTAAGACTCCAGAGGAAACCCAGTCATCCCTGCAGGCAGGGTTGTTCTGCATTCTCTATGGCAGGCCTTCCACACCCTAGCCTACAGCAACTGAGCGGGGATCTGGTTCAGTTTATTATTATTATTATTTATTATTTTACACCAATGGCTTAAACGTACACCTCCATAAAACCTTCCACTGGTCCAGTTCACCCCTTCCTGTCCCATTCAGTGCTCTCCTGAAGCAAGCAAAGGGCCAGAAATGGGCAGCCTCATGCCTGGAGCCCTGAAGTCCAGGAGTCTTTCCATCTAAAGCCAGAGCGCTGTGCGGTGCTGCTCTGGGCCGATAATGTGCTGTATGTGCTTGTCCATGCTTTCCCAGCCAGCAGAACTTGCTTGTGGATGCCAAAGTCATGTTCCTGACAGTCACTCTACTTCAGCCAATCCACAGCAGTGAAGCTCTTGCTCTTGTGGTTCAGTTCAAGGTCATTCAGTATCAAACCCACCGAAAACAGCACACGAGGGCCACACCAGTCAGCAAGTGACAAGGTGCACATCTCCAGGCTCCTCGGTTCAGTAGCCACGTGTGCCACTAGCAGTGCTCCCTGCAGTGCCCGAGCACAGGTTCCCCCAGGGACCTGTTCTTCTTCATCGTCACCCGTGGCACAGTCGTGCTGAGGTCCAGCACATGTGTTGCTCCAGGATGTGGATGCCAGTGCTAGAGCAGGCCCGTCCAGAGGTTGAAGCAGGCAGTGTTGATAACTGACTCCAGGTGGTGGTATGTGGACACAAGCTGTGGCAGAGGACTCTCGCTGTTCTGGGGCTGCACTGGGAACGGCTCCCGGAAAACCACAGTGAGGCTCTGCCGAGAGGGAGGAGAGGGTCAGGGGACAGGATTCAGACAAGCACTGTGCAGTCCCTAGCCCAGGTGTATGAGCACTTTTTTGGCAGTGCTGGGCAGATACTGGGAGAAGTCCTGAAATGCTCATGGCACTAAGCTAGTGCCTCCTCCTGTGACAGAGCACGTTTGAGCCTCCTTCCAATTTTTCTGCTGGAAATTAGGTGTGAGGACTTGCCCACTCACTCTGTCCCACCTCCCATGCATTTGCAGTTATACCAACCCCAGCAACAGCCTCGGGAGAGGAGGAGATCCTACTGCCTCCGCAGTAATAGGGGCTTCCAGGAAAATTAGAGGGATTTTTTTTTTCTTCTAAGGCAAAGAGTAGGAGTGCAACAAATGGGGAAGGGGAGGAGATTAAACCTAATAACTGCAATCCTAAAAATAAATACTGCCTGCTCCATTCTGGTTAGTGACTGTACTGACAAGGCAGGGCAAAGGCAGAGGGGAGCAGGGAACAAGGTTCAGAACAGAAGGTTGCAGGAGCTGAAGCACAACAAAAATATGGGTGACTCAGAGAACACTCATCAGCATCACAGAGGCAAGACACAGGGACTGGATGTTCTCTGGAGCTGAAATGCAGCATATCTAGTAGCAAGGGTCCCTAACAAGCTGGTAAATCCATTAGAACAGCAAATGCACCAGCATCATTTTAGAGGGGTGAGAATGTGATTTGTGAGCCCAACTCCAGCAGGCTTCAGAGCAGGCTGGGAGAGAAAGAACCATGAGGGAAATGCAGCTCAGTGTTTCTAAAGTGCCATGCTAACACTAAAGTTCTCTTTGATAAGGTAGTATTTCTAGACAAAGGAATCATGGTACATCTTATCTGAGCTTCAGGAGGATATGATGTGCCACATGGGAAATTTAGGTAAGCTGAAAAGATAGGAATTAACACAAAAATTATAAGGTAGAGGTGGCAGTGCTGAAAGGGGAAATAGCAGGCTGCAGAGAGGTTACAAATGGAGTTCCTCCAGGACAGGCTTTGGGACTCACGTTGCCTAGTACTTTAATGAGTCTGGCACAAACATGAGGTGTCTGCTGATAAAATTTGAGGCACTATTACTAAAGAGGATTGGGATAATGAAAAAAAAATCCCAGGAGTTTTGAGAAGCCACAGGAATGGGATGAATGCTAAGCACAAAATACAATGTGGGGAACGCAAAGGATTTCCTTTATAAGATGGGAGTCGCTGAGAGGGAGTGGAGGGTCTGGGTGTATCACATCAATGACCACAAGGTGACACTATGACCATCAGGTGGCAGGAGGTGCTGAGCAGCCTTCCAGCAGGCACCACCTCCCTCTTCTGTCTCCCCTGCCTGCTTTTGAGATGGAATATGATTTATTTACAAAGGGATCAGTAATGCTGTAGTCTCTGCAAAAGCCTTGCTGTGGACTGAAGCCTCTTGTGGATTCCCTGCTCTCATATGGAAGTGCACTTCCTGTGACCCATCCTGCACCCTGCCTCCTGGGAGCACAGCTGAAAGCAAATAATTTTTGCCCTCAAGTCCAGTGAAGGCAAAGGCCCATGTGGGTCTGCTGAGACCATCAGTGCAGGTCCTCTTCCTTTCTGCCCAGGCAGGAGCAGCCTGCAGCACTGGTGGCCCCCCCCAGCTAGACCCAGTGTGATTTGGCTTTGGACTGAATACAGAAGGACTTTAGCCTGGATATTCTATATATCAGCTGAGAGAATGATCCAAAAGCAACCCTGTGAAGGAAAAAGAAGATCAAGTGCTTAACTGCTTTCTAATACAAGAACAAAGGGGCATCACATGGAAAGAACAGAAGGAGCTTCAAAAACAAGCCAAGGAAGGTAGTTCTTCACCTAGATTGTAACTGCCTCATGGAGCTGCAAGTCAGAGGAAATCATGGATGCCAGAAATTAACCAAAGGAAACAAAGCAATGGAGGGCTATTAAAAAAATTCAAAGGCCACTTCTAGCTCAGGATGGGCCTCATCTAGATTGTCAGATGCTGGGATAGGACTCAGGAGAGGCATGACAAGCTTCTTGACCTGTTCTTCTTTTCCCCATGCACACCTGCCCTTGGCCACTGCTGGATCAATCTAGACAGATTCCTGGTCTGAGCCAACATAGCTGTGCTTCTGTTCCCAAGTACTTACTGTCTTTCCTGAATGAGAATCGAGAAACACAAGAACGAAGCAATCTGTGAACTTCTGGTTGAGCACGACCTGTCAGGAGAGCCACAGTGCACTTTAGGAGACAGTGCAGACCCCAGGGCAGAGACACAAACACCACCCACCCAGGGACATGCTGACATGCAGGATGAGTGGCATGACAGAGCTGTGAAGGTACAAGTCTCCCTGGCTCATGGGTGACACTCTGAGAGTGCAGTGTGTTCTGCCTGCCTGGGGGCAGACAGACACTGCCGTACCACAGGAGCACACACCTCACACTGCACCAGTAGCAGAGTGGAAAAGAACATCATGATGGTGCCCATGGTGTCCTGACAGCATGTGCCAGGTTCACTCTGTGAGAAGCCACAGCAGGCAGGGCTGGACAGGGGAGAGAGGCTGCAGGTGGGCAATGGGCTGTGTCTTACCAGATACTGGGTGCCAGTTTCAGCATTGTGGAAGTGCCGACAGCTCTGAGGAAAGCGGCTCAACAGCACTTTGATGAGGCTCTGGTACCAAGAAACTGTCATAGTGAGGAAGCATTCCTGTGGGCATGAAAAAGTCCTGATTTTTAGCCTCCCTCTAGCCATGGCACCAGCAGCCATGATGCTACAGCAGCCTTCAGACTCCGAATCAGATGCATCCCTCACAGCACACAGGCATGCTGACCAAGGGCTAGCCACTCTCTACAGGCAGGTCCATGCAGTCTCCCCCTTCCCCTGCCAGCTAGGAGCTATGTTCCTGCCTCTACCTTCCCACCAAGCAGGAAAAGATGTGCCCTGCAGGCCTTTACCAGGCACCCCACTCCACCCCCAGGGCAGAACCACGACTGCTGCGCGCTGTGACACCATCCCTTCTGCTCACCAGCTGGGGGTCGACGTCCGCAATGGATTTTCCATGCACAGCGTCGAGCAGCTCCTCCAGCTCCACCAGTGAGAGCTTGCCCAGCTTCAGCTTGTCAGAAGCCAGAGGCTCCAGAAGGAAAAGACGCTTCCAGAGGTTGTCCCTGCGGCAGTGGCACTTGGCCAGCTGCACCATGCTGCTGAGCTGCTTCTGGGCTGAGGCCACCTCAGAGGCCAGCAAGGGG